CATGGGATTGTGTGTAAGTGAGGACCTTTTTGCTGGTCCTCACTTGAGCATCTTCTGTTTTCACTGTTTTTAAAGAAAAAAGTGGAAAGCTTGCCTTTGGAAACTGAGGTTGAGGTTGGTGTTAGGTTTAGGTGTAGTTTTACTCGGCTGCAGTAATACAAAAAAAATGGAAATCAATAGAAGTCCTCACGTGTAATGTAAGACCAACGTGTGTGTGTGTGTGTGTGTGTGTGTGTGTGTTTGTGTGTGTGTGTGTGTGCCTGTTGTAGACATGGCGTTCAGTGTTCACCTCATTGTAGACTAGCTCATGTATACTGTCTGTCAAAAGTTTAGGGACACCTTGCTTTGTTTTGATATTAGTTAGTTACATTAATTCAGCTTTATATTCACTGTTGATGATTAGCTGTGGCTTAAATACAGAAAATATAACTAGTTATTTTACTCACTACTGTTAATTAATAATTGCTGTTTCTTTATTCAATAATAAAACAGTGTAGACTGAAATACTGTAAACATTTTAAGTTGTTTTCAGTAACATTTCAGTATTGTTTTGGAACAGCATGAATTTATTAAATGATAAATGATTTTTGATACTTAAATTATCTACTTGCAACAATTCTTTAAGTTATCTGCCTTGGATTAATAGTTTTCAAATACACAGCATTCTGAATTTCATTTTAATTTTATTCTTGATGTTCTACAGCTTTCTCAGTCATTTTAGGATCTTCTGCAGTTCTGTTCATCATTCTGGACACATCAGACATTTCTTTATTTTTACAGCTTTCGATAAACCTGTGAAGCTGTGGAGTACCAGCATCTTAATTCAGTCATTTTATATATGTACTTGCAGCAAAATTGGTTTAATATGGGTGAAAACAGTGATTCCAAACTTTTGAACAGTACCGTATATTAAGTAATTTTAGCAATGATCGCCCTGTTCTTCCTTTAAAGAAGTACTACCAATAAAATGATCTGCCAGTGAAGTACACTGGTTTAGGTTTTCTCTCAAGTAAAAGTATAAATGTGCAAACTCCTAGATGCACATAACAGATTTTAATGTTTTATGTTTTACACTGTATCTAACAGAACAGAAACCTCCTCACTCTTGGCCGTCTCTCCGCTAGGTTTCCCCGTTCTCACCTTAGCTGGTCATCATGTACCTAGTAGTCTGAGGCAGGGGGTCCTTGACCCATGTATGTTCATCATTACCGAAAACTCACAAGCACTGTTCCAGGATAATAGTGTCTCCTATCTGTTCCTTGGAGAGGGTATCGCAGCAAAAGAAGAGACATGGTGCTGTTTGGTGCACCTGTGATTTGATGTACACGATCTAGTATATGGTTTTTCTCTCCTTCCTCTCTTAATTCTTGTATTTGAACCTCAATACTTTTCTTTTTTCCTTTTCAGTGTTAACTAAATCTCATTCTTTAAGCATTTCTGGAACCAAGCCAAGTGTGATTTCTGCCATGTAATGAACTAGTGAAATAAACAATGCCATTTCACTACAGTGTCACAGATACTTTGCCAAAATATTAGGACTGTATAAGTAATTTACATCATCATATGAAGTCTGTATTTGTTTGCCGATTGTGTTTTCAGTGCACACATACGCAGACTAATGGCTGATTCATAGATGCAATGTGTGCTTTAGAAGTACACACACAGTGCGTCAGCAGTGTTGGAGACTCAGCTTGCTCTAATTAAAGCCATTAGGCAGGATAGATGGCCAAACTCTTGCGTAGTTTAATTTCCCTTAAGCCTTTACTTTGAACTTGGGTTTCACTGGAGCCTCCCATGGGGGAGGGTGTGTGTGTGTGTGTTTCTGTGTTTCTGTGTGTGTGTGTGTGTCTGTGTGTGTGTGTGTGTGCGCGCATGCACTCATGCTATCTGCTGATAGCCTGTTTGTGTGTGTGAGAGAGTTTGTTTTCATACATTGTCAGGACAAAAAGGAGTAACTCACTTTGTCAGGATCAACAGTGCTGCTGATCTGTAAAGTGCAAATCCATTTCGTTTTGATTACTGTGGTAAGGTAAAGTTCAAGGTTAAGCTGAATGGAAGTTAATGGAAGTATATTTTTTCCAAGCACTTTTGGAGTATTTATATTGGTCTATTCAACATTAAATTTTGGCATATTGTGAAGGTCAGCTGACATTTTCAAATTCTGTAAAAGAACAACAAAAAAGAGGTTTTGTTCTGACAGCAACGATATAAGAAAATGATTACATATAGATACGATTTGGGCGTGCCAGGTTATATGCATTGTTGGTTTTCTAAGTAAAAAAATGTTAACACATCCTCTACAGAGCACACATTTCTGCACATTGTGCAATTCACAATTACTGTTTATTATTTCCAATATATTATAATTTGACTTAAAAATTAAACATAAAATGTGGCCTGTGAAGACCTTATGGCAAATTTAGTATTTTATTTTTTTCCCCCAATATGTTAAACTCAGCAAATAAATCGAAATTGTGCACTACAATTTGTGGAAAAAATCAATCCGTATTTCACAACATGAGTTAAATAAAGGCCTGCATTGAAAGTGGGAGGTGACTGGCTATTTAGCACAGTGAGTCAAGCATAATTATTCTACAACATTTTCATACAGGTTTAGCAGCAGCGTTTAAATGCAGAACCAGGTATTGATCTCCCTAATGTTATTTCGATAATAACATTTCAAGATAGATCAGCCAAAATCAAAATAATTGATCATTTGCTGATTGCTTGTTCAAACAAAACATGGCCAATTCTGATCTTGGCTGATTCCAGTTGTGCACCCCAAATAGGTACTTAATAGGGGATGTAACAATATGCTCAGCCCAAAAAAGGATCCCTTTCACAACATTGGGTTCCTAATTTGAGATTATAATATTTTCATATTTATAATATATAATAATTATAATATTTCAATATTACAATATTTTCATTCAAATCTGAATTAAGAAATATGATGATTGCATTCCATGTTATTGCGTAATCTACTAATAAGCCTAGAGCTGGGAGGTGGGGTGTGTGGAGTGTGGAGCATGACATGAATGTGCTGGAGTGGGTTGTTGATTGCTTGATTACATGTCTACTTAAATATGGAACATGCCTATGACCCACAAGCCCTGGTCTTGTATAAAAACAACCCAACAAATGTCTGTAATGAGAACTCACCTATTCATCTTTTATCATCTCTTTTTTTCTTTTCATGTGCTTCTCTCTCATTCCCTCCTCAAACCTGCTCAAGTGTGCAGCTTCAGCTGCTGTCTTTTTAAAAGAAGAGAGAGAAAGAGATTCACTAATCACTAAAAGCTTGTTATGCTTTAATAGATGACAATAGTGCTGTAGCTCTGAACAGACTGATGCTATTGGCTCTTAATCACAGAGAGAGAGAGAGAGAGAGAGATTAATCAAGTCTTTTCAGATGAAAGAGAAAGCGAGTGAGGAGTCTGTTCTGTTCGACAGATGATACAGCGAGAGAGCTTTGAAGGAAGATGAAGGTAATTGATTATTTTGGTGGAAAAGTGGGCTACATGGTGAGAATTAGGAGGCCAGAGGATGAGTGACATGGAAACTACTGCAGCTCCAGTGGTGGAGATGAAGAGAGTGATGGCGAGGGAGAAAGGCAGACAGACAGCATTGCAGTTGGCTTTAGGGAAGTAAAGGCCTTCAGAGATCACGCAAGGTCAGAGAGGGAGAAACATTACTGCAGCAGAGCGAGACAGACACACTAATTTAGTTTGAAGGCCCTGCTGAGATCTTGAGCTCAAACTTTGTATTATCACTTTTTCCCACTGTTGATTGATTGCAGATTTGAAGCTTGTATTGCCCTGATACTGGACATGTCCCGGTCCAGTCTTTTTGCCCTTCTGATCTGATCCAAATACTTTTATATTGAGTAAAACAAACAGTTGTATTTTTGTATTTTTATAGATAATACAGCCATGCAATTTAGGTAGGGTAAGCTGCTAATTATCTCTTTAAGGCATGTAAATTTCTGTTATTTTACGTACTCTTTTCCATTAATAACACAATTTCTAAATGCTGCTGTTGAACATCACACATCAGTCAGGCTTAATGAGTACATTGCTTAAACAAATCAATGAAAAGCGCTTACCGAAGCACATTCTGGGTAAGCTCTCATTCACTTTCTCGCATAATGAATATCCTTTTTTTTAAAGGATTTTTGGACTCATTCGAAGTAGGCTGCTCAATTCTCTCGGTTTTAAATGCGCTGTTAGTTCCCACAAGCAATGAACACCACTGTGTAGAAGAATGAATCACGACTGGTTTAAAAAAGTGACTGTGAATAAAAAATGTTGCAAGAGTGTGTCAAGAGTGTTTAACATGGTTTTGGTGGCATGCTGCTTCTTATAAAGAGCAGAAAATAGACTTGAAGCATAAGAGCTACGCGCTCGTGTTACGTGCCATGTGTACACGAAAGATGGTAAATTCATACACAGTCGAAACAGCAACTGTTCAGATATTTCAAAATTTGTTTTCCTGTTTAAAATAGTTTCACACTGCAGACAGTTAACTTGCTGTTTCTGAAAACATGCCTCACTGTTGCAGGTTGTGGATAATATCCGTTTATTGCATCTCTAAGATAGCAGCATGCAAAAAAAAAAGAAAGTATCAACAGTGGATCAAGCTTTTAAAGCTGTACCTGATCTGATAAAATATGTGGCACATGGGCTTCCTGTGTGCTCTTATCCGGAGCTAACGAAACGGTCTGTTTATCATGAGACAAAGCTTGTATTAGACTTTGTTCTGTTATTGGTATCCTGCCCCGTTTTGCAGATTTAGCATCAGCTCTACGACTGGAAGGCCTGACTCAAACGCGCGTTGTTTATATGGGTTACTGAACTTTGAATGGTAACCACGGCACCGAGCAAACCATGTCCATGTCCACTTTATTAAGGTTTTCTTGTTGTAACTACTTTAAGACTCTAATAGAAGTAATTTGAAAATAAATTTCTCTCTTTGTCCTCCTTTCTGTTGTCTCTCTCCAGGTGGTTTCGCCATCGTGTTTCTGGTGCGCACCCATCAGGGCGTCCGCTGTGCTCTGAAGAGGATGTACGTGAATAACGAACACGACCTTCAAGTCTGCAAGAGAGAGATTCAGATCATGGTGAGAGTCGGCACTCAAATGCTTAGTCTGGGCCCCTCCTGCTCCCTCACTCTGAGTACAGCTGGGTGTACAGACACTGGGAAGCAGTGCAGAGACTGGCTCTGTCAGTGGGATTCAAGCTACAGATGTTTTTTGCAAAACTGTATAACATGGCTTTTAGCATCTCTGCTAGTGCTCAGTGGTACAGCTGGTAGACTCCTGTATATATGCACTAGCAGAAAGAGAAAAGGCTGTTGCTGACTGCTGGGGATGTGTTCCAAATGGATGCCTTCATACTTCACTCTGTACCCCACTTCATGATCTTAAAGCCATAATTTGGCAAAAAATGAAAACCAAGACATTGCGCAAGCTGCATGTCTACTTGCTAATGTGGTTTCTGACAGTGTCTTTTTGCTGTTTTGTCATTTTAAATGAAGAATATACCATTCAAATGAATTATGTGAATGAGATTTGAAGGTTTTTTTACAGTTTGGGAAAGGGTGGTCCTGTTGGCAAGAAAAAATAGCAGTTTTTTCTTTCCTATTTTTTTGCAGCTGTCAAGTTTTTTTGCATTCTTTTCTTCAGTAGCATTCAAACAGTGGGCGCAAAAAGGTTAATATGTGTAAATCATTGTCGTTTGCAACCAAGACAGATGGCTACCACTTCGTTTTTGTCAGCAAATTTTGTACAACATGTTGATTTCTGTGGACTTTAACCACTGTGAGAGCTAAGCCGCCATCCGCAAATGACACTGCAAGCAGCAATCTTCGGGGTCCAAGCACGGCTTATAGAGCCAGTATAGGTCTTTTAACAGAAAGAACACAAATGAGGGGCAGAGTTTTTTATAATGGATCAAGCTTCCTGATCCCCTACAAGGGCTTGGGTTCTGTCACTTGTCATCTTTTTTTTACTGCTCACGAGTTTGATCTATTAAAATGAACAAAATTGTATTGCACAGTACAAATCAGTAATTTTGTCATACACTCATCCATCTAAACTGGGAGCCCATGGAGCTGGTTGCCATTACTTTTGAAGATTGTGGTGTTATTTGAGAATGAACAGAACTGACTCTCAGGAAAGGGAGGGCATGTTTGGGTTGAGTCACTGATCATCTCCAAAAACACAACTGACTAGTTTATTATACCAGCTTTTGAGTCAATACACGTACTGAATGAACTGCTCTCTTGTATTGGTACTCATGAAAGACGCAGCGGCAGAGGGAGTGATAGAAACAGAGCGAGAGACACTATTCACAGACTGCAGCGAGCTCATAAGAGCAGCTTCAGTAAGGAGGAAGAGAAAGAGGTCGTTGTTCAGCATTTAAATGGGCCGCATCTGGTGACTTTGTCTCATCCGTAATAGAGAAGCCTTCTTTCGGACTGTGGGCGACGCTGTTTACAACACTAGAATAGGTTCCTCATGTTGCTTTTTCATCTCAGCCCTTATTTAATGCTACGTTAGCAAAGAGGCCCCCTGTTTGTATCGTCCAGCTATGGTCTTAGTTGATCTAAGCTTAGCGTGAGTCGAATATGTGGTCCAGCAGTTTCAGAATGGCACATCAGCCCTAGAGTCGACCGATATGACTATATTTGTCATGATAATTTACATCATGTTACGTCACACTATGCTTTTCTGAGCATATTGTGGGTATCGTCAGTACACATACATTTAAACACTAACAAACTAGATGTTTTATTAAAAACATACTCACATACTGTACTACACTAAATTCAATTGAACTGTTCAGTTGAATTTAGTGCAGTACAGTATGTGAGTATGTGAAACGTCTAATAAAAATAATACATGTTTAAATTTTTTGTTTAACTAAATGTTAAAAACCATTGTGGTCCATGTAGTGTATCCTGAAAATATCTTGAAGTATCTCAATGTTATATTTGTGCTGTATCACCCACCCATTGTTGGGCCCGTCATCAGAAGATCATGAGTTTGATCCCTGGTGATACCATAGTCATCTGTAGCTGTGGATGACCTTCCCTTTCCACTCAATCACTCAGCACGAGGCTAGCCAGCTCGGCTGTCTGTTAGCTGATAGAACTGGCACTTAGTGTTCCTAGCTAAGCATTAGGACTGAACAATTTGGGAAAAGTATCTAATTGCGATTTTCCTGATCAGTATTGTGAATGCGATTTAAATTGCAATTATTTTTTGGAAATTGAGGTGCAAGGCCTGTTATTTTGGCCAAGAATATCAGAACATCTACTTTTTCTGGCTTGAGACTTGAACACTGAATATGCCAGACTGCCAGTTAGTTGTGTGATGTCACAGCATATCACTGCTGTCGGAACAAAACCTTGTATCTGCTTTTTTGTTTTTGACATGATTTGAAAATGCATGTTGCCGTTTTCGTTGCGTGCAAATTTCATGATGAATGGACCAAAACA